TGTGTCCATACTGCCTGTTAGCAGCCTACGGGGAGTTTTATTACCACATCTGTTTCAAGTTTTTCAAAAGTTCTAAGGAGTAGATGCGAACCTTTTAATTTCATATACACACGCTCTTTCTCTTTTATTCTCAGTGGTCAAGAAGCTGAGTTTAAATGGCTAGTGGAGAGGGTACTAGAGAGATAGCACGGTGGTTAGGGGTCTGCCCCACACGCAATTGATCCGCGTCTATACCCAGCAGTCCATATGGTCCCCTAAGACCCCTAAGTGCAGAGCTGGGAATAAGCCCTGAGCGTGGCCTCCAAACAAACAAAAAAAAAATAATACAACACAAGGCTATCTGGGGTTGGGAGAGAGGCTAGTGGTTAGAGTGCTTGATAGCATTCCATCCTGCGGACCACATGGTCCCCCAGGGATCCCCAACTGCTGCTCTTGAGGGCCTGGAGTACTACCGAGTAACCAGGATATTCAGCACCACACAGCGGGAACAGCCGGGACAGCCTGGAAAAGCATCACTCCTGTAGGTCCTTGTGTTAACAGTGCTGGATAGATCAAACATGATTGCCACTCATTGCCTCTTTTGCAAATCACAACACCCAAAAGGAGAGAGAAAACAAAAGGGAATGCCCTGCCACAGAGGCAGGGTGGGATGGGGGTGGGGGGTGGGGGGGTGGGAGGGATACTGGGATCCGTGGTAGTGGGAAATGGGCATTGGTGGAGGGATGGGTACTCGATCATTGTATAATTGAAACCCAAGCACAAAAATTTGTCAGTCTACAACTTTACCTCATGGTGTCTCACTAATAAAAACTTTAAAAAAAAAAACAGTGCTGGGGGAATAGAGTGCTGTGAAAGAAGGGAGGGTGGGAGGGACGGAAAGAAGGAAAGGAGGGAGGAGTGAGGGAGGGAGGGAAGAAAAGGAAGACAAAAGGTTGGGAGGGAGGGAGGGTGAAAAAGGAAGGAAGGGAGGGAGGAAGGGAGAGAGGGGAAGTAAAGCAGGAAAGGAAGGAAGGGAGGGAGGGAGGGAGGGAGGGAAAGAAAAACAGGAAGGAGGGGAGGAGGGAAGGAAAGAAGGGAGGGAGAAGGGAGGGAGGGGAAATAAGAAACAAAGGAAGGGAGGGAGGGGGAAAGGGAGAAAGGAAGGGAGAAAGAAAGGGAGAGAGAGGAAGGAAGGAAGGAAGGAAAGAAGGAAGGAAGGAAGGAAGGAAGGAAGGGAGGGAGGGAGGGAGGGAGGGAGGGAGGGAGGGAGGGAGGGAGAGAGGCGAGGAGGAAGGCATATGGAAGGTGGGGGAAGGAAAGAAAAAAGGAAGGATAAAAAAAGGAAGGAAGGGGAAGGGAGGAGAGGAAGGAAGGGAGGGAAGGAAGTAGAAAAGGAAGACAGAAGGAAGGGAAGGGAAAGGAAGGGAAGGGAAGGGAAGGGAAGGGAAGGGAAGGGAAGGGAAGGGAAGGGAAGGGAAGGGAAGGGAAGGGAAGGGAAGGGAAGGGAAGGGAAGGGAGAGAAGAAAGGTGAAGGGAGGGAAGGGATGGAAAGGAGGGGATGGAGAGGGAGGAACAGCATACTTTCTCAAGGTTTCTGCACTATCCTTGACTGGACTCCGCAGTGTGGAGAGAGGGCTGCAGAGAGGGGACTTTGGGGGTTCAGACATTGTGTGAATGTACTGAACCTTGACTGTACAACAGCAAAAACTTCTGTACCCCCCCAAAAAAAAAATTCAGAAGCCAACGCCCACGCAGCCTTGTGTGCGCATATCCAGACCAGTGCCGCTTTGGCGGCTCGAGTCTCTCAGAGGCTCCTTCCTGCTTCCTGGGTTTGCAGGTGTAGTTCCAGGAAATGGGGACCCCTTTGACAGCGGGGCAGTGACAGCAGCAATCTGCAGGCACACCCTCAGTTTTGGGGCTCATTGACGGACGTTCTGGGCATGCAGGTACCTTTTGATCAAGCATCCTGAAAACACAAATGAGCGGCCTTCACAGGGCCCCCAAAGGTCCTTTGGTCAGCTCAGACCAGGCCAGATGCCAAGCACAGTACCAACCCCTAGCTAGTCCTTCGGGTCCATGAGTAAGTGACCATGTTGGTATGGGAACTGGCCCCCAGATTGCGGAGAACTCCAAAACTAGTGCTCTGCTCTCCCAGTAGACCCTCAGACACAGACAAGGAGCATGAGCCAGGGTGGGCCAGACCCCTGCCCTCCTGGTACCGGGTGGTGCTTTCCATTTTAATTAAAGTCCATGTTTGTCCATTCCACCCAATCCCTGGCCTGGTGCTCCAAGCTACTTTGCATGGCCAGCAAAATCAATAATCGTCTCTCCTTTGGGAGCAGAGGCATCTGGGCATTTCTGTGGTGTGTGCAGAGCAGAAGGCTGGTGTTTGGTGTTGGGCAGGCACTGCCCAGCCCATGATGGTTGGGCAGAGGACAGACTGTCATGCTCTCTGCTGGTCAGTTTCCACGACCGAGAAACGCCTTGCCTTCCTTTAGCCTCCATCTTTATTTATTTATCTATCTATTTATTTATTTATTTATTTTTAGGCTCCACCTGGTAGTGCTCAGGGTTTACTCCTGGCTTTGTGCTCAGGGCTCAAACTTGGGTTGGCTGCATGCAGGCAAGAACCTTCGCCACTGTCCTATTGCTCACCAATCCCCACCCTCCCCCCACACACAACCGTCTCTGCTGTTTTTCCCTGGTTTGCTGGCAATGGCAAAGACATAGGGAGGGGGGCAGGGTGGGGTGGGCTTTGATGGCTGATCAGGTGGACATGACAGATTTCTTGTGACCCAGCTGCCCTGTTGGCAGGTGACCATGTACACCCACACCTCAGATTTGCTAAGGGGGTTCTAGAAGTCTTGAGACCTCTGGAGGGATCCCAGGGCCGTTGTTTGCATGCCCACATGCCTTATATTCATGTTCTGCAGAACCAGCTGGACCAGCGTGACGTAGTCCACGTGACCGGGTGCCCCAGCAAAGCCCTCCGCACTTCTCTCTTCTTCATTCATTGGTTTTGGATATTTGCTGTCTCCTGACTCTCCCAAAGCAGAAAGAGCACATCATGAAGATGTGCTTAAAAATCTGGTTTTGCCTCTCAGTACCTGTATTGCAAACCATAAGGCCCCCCCGGGGGGGGGGCGGAGAAGGGAGAGAGACAGAGAGAGAGAGAGAGAGAGAGAGAGAGAGAGAGAGAGAGAGAGAGAGACCCTAGTGCTTTATCTGAGGTTTGAGGAAACAGAGACAATGTGTGTGTCTCTGTGTGTGTGTGTAAGAGAAAGAGAGAGAGACAGAGAGACAGAGAGAGAGAGAGGAGAGAGATACCCTAGTGCTTTATCTGAGGTTTGAGGAAACAGAGAGAGACAATGTGTGTGTCTCTGTGTCTGTGTGTAGGAGAAAGAGAGAGAGACAGAGAGAGAGAGAGAGAGAGGGAGGGAGGAGAGAGAGTTACCCTAGTGCTTTATCTGAGGTTTGAGGAAACAGAGACAGTGTGTGTGTGTGTGTGTGAGAGAGAGAGAGAGAGAGAGAGAGAGAGAGAGAGAGGTACCTGCCATAGAGAAAGGCTGGGGGGAGGGTGGCAGGAGGGATAGGGGGACACTGGTGTTGGGAAATGTATACTTGGGGAGGGATGGGAGTTGGAACACTGTAGGACTGAAGCCCAACCATGATTAGCTTTGTAACTCTATCTCATGGTGACTCAAAAATAAAATTTAAAATTAAAAAAAAATTAAAATTCAGTTTGGGTTTTGAGCTGCTTCGCCATATGATCTTGTATGAGGGTTGACTGACATCTTATGTATTTGGCCCATATATTAAAAAAAATCAAAATAAGTCTCATTTAAAATAAGTCTCTGATAGGGCAGCAGGAAAGGCGAGTTCAATCCACGGCATTCTAAATGGTCTCCTGAGCACCACCAGGAGTAATTCCTGAGTTCAGAGGCAGGAGTAACCCCTGAGCATCGTTGCGTGTGACTCAAAAAGCAAAAAATAAAAAAATATAAAAAATAATAAAAGAAATCAAATAAGTCTCTAGTTGTACTTTTAAAGTGGGTGATTTTTAAAACTATGTAAGTTATGTTTCAATAACTCTTTAATAAAAGTAAAAAATAAAATAAAAATAAAAAATAAAAATCTTTGACAATCGTAGTATAGTTTCCCTGAGTGTAGCTTTAACTCTAGTCTATAGATTTAAAAATAAAATTAAATTAAATAAGCCTCTATTACTTCCCCACCGCCACCACCACCACCATGCACAACACACACGCGATGCACACATGCACACACACACACACACACGCAGCCCCAAATCTATTTAAACTTCATGAAAGCAAACTTTATTGTGTTTTTCTTCTCCGGCCATTTGCTTTACACATCCCCAAAAGCCTTTACTAAAAAATTGCATTGATGACTATTATTTGTAAATTTTTTTTTCTTTTGGGGGTCACACCCAGCAATGCACAGGAGTTACTCCTGGCTCTGCACTCAGGAATTACTCTTGACGGTGCTTGGGGGACCATATGAGATGCTGGGAATCAAATCCAGGTCAGCCGCCTGCAAGGCAAAAGCCCTACTGGCTATGCTATTGCTCCAGCCAAAATGGCTATTATTATTGTTATGACTATTATTATTATTATTTTGCTTTTCAAGTCTCATGATGGAGACGTTACTGGGCCTGCTCGAGCAAATCAATGAAACACGGGAGGATTGTGACCATGACCATTTTGCTTTTGGAGCCACACCCATTGATGCTCAGGGGTCATTCCTGGCTCTGCACTCAGGAATCACTCCTGGCGGTGCTCGGGGGACCATATGGGATGCTGGGAATCGAACTGGGGTCGGCCACATTCAAGGCAAATGCCCTATCCGCCTTGCTATTGCTCCAGCCCAATGATGATGATGATGATGATGATGTTGATGATGATGATGATGATGATGATGATTTTACTGTTTGTCTGGGAGCCCGAGGTGGTCCCTGATGCTCACGGTGTCACTCTTCTCCTCCCGTGCTGGCAGGGGGCCGGTGAGCCTGTGGCCCGGCGCCGAGCCGGGGGTCTGCGCATCCCCCTGTGGCCCGCCGACATGGACGTGAAGGACCGGCGCCACCGCTCGCTGACCCGGGGCCGCTGCGGCAAGGAGTGCCGCTACACCAGCTCCTCCCTGGACAGCGAGGACTGCCGGGTGCCCACGCAAAAGTCCTACAGCTCCAGCGAGACACTCAAGGCCTACGACCACGAGAGCAGGATGCACTACGGGAACCGAGTCACCGACCTGGTCCACCGCGAGTCCGATGAGTTCCCCAGACAAGGTGTGTCATTGGACGCGCGTGCACGAGCGCACCCCTGGCCCTCACCCCGAGCCTGGCAGGGTCCGGAATCAGGAGCGGGAAGTGGCCAGCTGCCCAAGACGGTCCCCTTTACCCACCCATCTGGCCATTCTCCTATTTAAAGGGGGTGGGGGGAAGGGGTGTAGGGGGTGATCATAGCACTGCTGTGGTTCGGACACGTTTGGTGGTTGCCCCTTGAGACCCTCTTGATGGGATCCTGGCCACTGCCCCTTCATCCCTACTGGTGTGGTCCCTGCTACACCCTCTTGAGCCACAGACCCAAGGAACCACATCATCACCTGTGGCTTTTCTGCCCTTCTTGAAGCCCCTGCCTCCAGGAACTCTTATTTTACTGTTCTACCCTGTGGGACTTCTAAGCTAGAGTCTCCTTGAGCAACTGTCTTCTTTCAGTTTTTGTTTGTTTGTTTGTTTGTTTGTTTGTTTAATTGATTGGTTTGGGTGCCACGCCTGGCTGTGCTCAGGACTTGCTCCTGGCTCTGCGTTCAGGGATCACTCCTGAGATCGAACCCAGGTGGGCTTTGTGCAAAGTGGAATACCCCAGCTACTATACTATTGCTCTAGAAACACCACCCCCTCTGCCCATGGCTTATTGTGTGAAGATGTATTCGACCTCCACCCCTTGTGGAGTCATCTATAATTTTGATCCCTAAAATATGCAGGGTTCATTGAATTGCATGTGTGTGTGCACGTGTGTGTGTGTGTGTGTGTGTGTGTGTGTGTGTGTTTCAGAGCAAAGATACCTACCTGTCACAGATAATGCTTCGTGTTACATTTGTCCAAACCGTTTTCATGGAGAATCTTTATTTCACTGGGGAGAAAACTAGTTTCACCCAGGAGCGAACTCTTAGACAATAGCCTTCATGCTCAGCATCCATGAGAGGGTCTCTTTAGGTGTTGGGAATGGTTGTAAACACAGAGACTTGGAAAAAAAAGAACCACCCTGGGCCAGGAGGCACCGTGGGCATGTGAACAAGGACATCTGCACTCTGTCCTCTGTGTATAGTGGTGACACTTGTACAAACAGCTTAGTGACATGATAAGCAAATGCTCAGAGATGCCCCAGCTGCCCCAGGAAGAGGGGCCACCAGGACCGAATGTCGGGGCTCGCCAGCTAGATTATCCTATCATTTGCTTCCCAAACTCATTCTTTATTTCTGGTTCCATGCCCCTGGCAGTAAATGCCACCACCGAGATTTAATTCCTGATGAGATTTGCTAGCCTGCATCTCCGTCCTCTCAGGATATTGTCACAAAACACCATAAACCGGTGATTGTGATCCATGGGCGTTTACTTAGGGGGGCAGAGAGCCAAGACTCCCAAAGGTCAAGTGCATACTCTGCAGGCGGGAGGCAGGGGGTAGGGTGGGGAGGGGATCCCCATCACTGATTGCTCCCCGGACAACACTCCCCTCCGGCTCTAGCACAGAACTGGGTTAGCTCCTAAGCACTGCCAGGGTGACTCCACATCAACAGTAACAAATCACAATCACGATCATCCTGTTGTTTGTCGATTTCCTCGAGCAGGCACCATTCGTGTCTCCTTCTTCTTAGCCCTGAGATTTTAAAAGAGCCATTTCACTGCTCTTTCAGGATTAGGAGAATGAGACCCATCATTGAACAATAACAAAAGGAAATGATTTTTCAGGGTTCGAGAGGCTGAAAATTTTAGGATGAAAATATTAGCATAATACAACAGATGGAGTGTGCCGGGATCTCTCATTCTGTTTCTGAGATGACTCTTTCCTCTAGTCTTCATATTCCTGGATGTCTTCTGTGAAGCTACTGTCCTCATTCATGAGAACTCTGCTTCTGCTTCAATAGGAGCTCAGAACCCACCTCCTAACACTGTGGAGGACTGATCTTTCTTTTCATGAGTTTTTGGTTGGGGCCAGAGTGATAGTCCAGCGGGGAGGGCATTGCCTTGCATGCGGCTGACCCGGGTTCATTCCCCGGCATCCCTTAGGGTACCCCGAGCACCGCCAGGAGTGATTCCTGAGTGCAGAGCCAGGAGTCACCCCTCAGCATCGCCGGGTGTGACCCAAAAACCAAAAACAAAACAAAAAAGAGGTGCTGGAGCTATAGCACAGCAGGTAGGGCATTTGCCTTGCACATAGCCAACCCGGGTTTGATTCCCAGCATCCCATAGGGTCCCCTGAGCACTATCAGGAGTCCCCTGAGCACGAACCCAGGTCAGCCGTGTGCAAGGAAAATGCCCTACCTGCTGTGCTATCGCTCTAGCCCTGCATGATAGCATTTAAAAAAAAAATTTAAAATATTTTTATTAGTGAAACACCATGAGGTACAGTTGTAGACTTACAAATTTTTGTGCTTGGGTTTCGATTATACAATGATCAAATACCCATCCCTCCACCAGTGCCCACCCTCCACCACCATGGATCCCAGTATCCCTCCCACCCCCATCCCCCCCCATCCCACCCTGCCTCTTTGGCAGGGCATTTACTTTTGTTTTCTCTCTCCTTTTGGGTGTTGTGGTCTGCAAAAGAGGCATTGAATGGCAATCGTGTTGATCAAAGGATCTGTACAACAGGAAGAACTTACAATACTAAATGTATATGCACCTAATGAGGGACCAGCAAAGTACTTAAAACAACTACTCATGATAGCTTTTTAACTCTATTGTTTTGCCCTTTTTTCCCCTTTCCCTCACTTCCCTGCCCCAGTGCCAGAGACTGAACCAGGCAGTGCACATATCTGCTGACAAAAGAATTGGGAAAGGTTGAGACAGCAGAGATAGTACAGCAGTTAAGCTATTTATCTTGCATACAGCCAATCCAAATTTGATCCCTTTCGATGAATGCCCCCCTCCCCCACCAGGAAAGCCAGGAGAGAGCCCCCACTACAGAGCAGGAAGTAGCTCCTGAGCACTGCAGATGTGTCCTGACTCCCCTCCCCACCCTCAGAAACATTTAGTTGCCTAGCTGCCTTGAATTTCATTGCTGGTTTCTTAGCTTCCTTAATTTATTGATCTTCTCTATATTTCTTAGGAAATATTACATTTATGTGCTTTACCTAAATCTAAATACACTCCAGGGTATATGTGTCTGTACATAAAAACTACAACCCAGCAATTCTGATTTAAATCACCGTCTTCTCCTCTTTCAGCTGAACCTAGTCCTAACTTTTAGATCGAGCAAGATATAGAACACCAGCAGAGGAACAATGGGTGTTTCCATCCCAAACGTTGACCTTGGCAGGGTCCATGTTTATTTAATCTTCACCCTGATTTTCTGAATTATCTTCATGTAAATGAAACACATTTCAGAAGAGGGGTGGGTTGTGTGAAAATTGCTCTGTGTCAAGTGCCTTTGATCTGTGAGCGACTTCACAAGCGTTTTCTTTTGATAAGTTCTCACCCTACCCCAAACCGTGTGGAGTGAAAATTGAGGAGACATGTAAAGAATTAGAGCTTCGCAAGGGAAGGAAGCCCCCCCACCCCGCCCCAATTCCTCATGAACTGCATGAAGAGTGGTTCCAATAGAAGATTCCAATACTTGGAAAGGTGATGCCTCTTCAGGTTCATGGCGAACCTCTCATTTTTCAATTTTAACTTTGTTGTAGTTTTGGTTTCATTGCCAATGAAGCTCCATCTATTTTTCGGTTCTGGTGCTTCTGTGATGAAATGTAGATTCTTCCTCCAAAGTCTCTTTAAAGGTACATCCTGGCTGCTACACCACAGCCATGCCAAGCACGCCAAATTGTGGATTGATCTGTTGCCTTTTCCCTTATTAATATTTACATATAACAGGGGCTGGAGCCATAGTGGGTAGGGCATTTGCCTTGCATGCGGCCGACCCATGTTCGATTCCTCCGCCCCTCTCGAAGAACCCGGCAAGCTACTGAGAGTATTTTGCCCGCACAGCAGAGCCTGGCAAGCTCCCCGTGGCGTGTTCAATATGCCAAAAACAGTAACAAGAAGTCTCACAATGGAGATGTTATTGGTGCCTGCTCAAGCAAATCGATGAGCAACAGGAAGACAGTGCTACACTGCTACAGATAACAGAACCAAGGGTGGGAATCTGTGTTTCAAATATACCTTCCTCCTTCCAGTGAAATCTTGTTCCTCTCCATTGATTGTAATGAAAATGGCCCAGCCGCATGCAACACGTCACTCTGCAGCGAACAAACCTCGCATTGCTGTGTGTTGTTCGTGAGCCCATATTTGTTTGTGTAATGTGTTTGCATGAATTAAAAACCCGTGCAGGCCAAAAAGTGGAAATGAAAAGGCACAGGGAAGTATTTGCATATGGAAGCGCAATTCCTTCTGAAGACGTCTATGAATTTATGCATGAAAATCTAGTCGGGAGTCGGAGAGGATCTACTTTGATGGCTTCTAAAATTGAACTCTGCAGGAAGTAAATAAGCACATATTTCTGGGGAGGACACATAGGAGACCCGATGTGGCAAGCCACACATTCCTGAATGCAACTCGGTCATGGCGGAGAGGGTTAACGTGACATTTTTTACACTCGGTGAGAACAATAATTTTTTTCTTTAAATGTCATGCGTGGCCCGTTTTGATTTTCCTTATTCATGAAATCAAAGAGCAGGATCAGCTCGGTACTTATTAGCCTCCAAGTACATTAGCAAAGATGAGAGCCGGGATCATCTCCGGGGTGGTATTCTTATTTAAAACTCAAGGCGCTGATCATAAAACAAACACGCTTCTTCCACACAAGCCAGTTTGGCAAACACACTTGGCCGACTCTCCAGATGCTCAGAGCGGTGGGGGGAAAAGAATTATGGAGCGGTGAAGTGCGAGGAGGGGCTGGGGTCAGACCTTGTCCAGGCAGGCCCAGCTGGTCGGTTTGCAGGTATCAACCGTGAAAAGCACTGCCAGCTCCCAGCAGGAGAGATGAGCTGGGCGTCCCCCAGAGAAGCCTAATGAACGCGGCCGTCAAATGAGGCCGCCTTCTCCTGCTTTCAACCCAGACTCCTCCTTGG